AACTTAGTGGAACTTAATAAACCATGGATAAAAGCATATGATGTAAAACATGTTTACTTAGAGTATGTTACTGCAGGAAGTTACATTGCATCATATTTTATTCTAAAGCTTGATTTGAGACATCGGACACTAGTTTGCATAACTGGTCATTGGCAAAAAATACGTACAGTAAGTGTTGTGGGACATTTTAAGATGTGACAGTGTGAGGCTGAGGCCCTGCAACATTCTTCCCTTATGACAGAGACCCGTTACTTTTACAACACTGAGTTTGTGATGCGTGTTAAAGACGACTCTGTTGCGAGCTACAACCTATGGTAAATACAGACTGATACAGACTGACAGGTTGGTTTCTCTAACATGATGCTCCCATTCATTTAAAGTGGAGGTTAGTACATGTACATGTAATCAATCTCAACTTGTTAAGGAAAACAATTTCACAAAAAAATTAAATTCATAAAGTAGTGGTGCTTATGGGAAGCTCTGCAGTCAGTTCCCAATGATTTTTATGTAAAAGTGCTGAGGAAGCTGAGAAGAAAAACAGATAGTGTTTAGCAATACGCCCTTATCCTACAGTAAGCAGTTTGAAGCAGTTTGCATTTGGGTCAGCTGTCTATGTACTTGTCTGTGTAAAGAGCTGACATTCTACATGTTACGGTTGCATACAGCCATCGGGCTTGCGCACTGTCACACCCCTCCCCGCCTGCAGGGCTACTCTGTGTGGTTGCTTCTGATGCAGGCTCCACACTCAGGACAGGAGTGGTACACAACAAGGAACCCTGCATGCAGCCCCATCGCTCTTTGGAATCCAACTCACAGAAATCTTTTGTAGCAATAGAGGATTACATTTAGTATTTATACACTAAATGTCTTTGGGTTGTGATTGTTGGTTTGTTAAAATGTGGGCTTGGGCTCATTTGAACCTTTATCCCTGCAGTTTTCTGTTTATTCAGTAAACATGATTCTGTGTCACACCTATTTCAGTAAAATTTCTATTGAAATATTTGGTTATCTGTTTAAGTAGGCTAATTAAACCAACTTCCAACTGATCTCCTAAGGCCTACAAAAGGAAATGAATGACTATTAACAGAAAATGTATAATTCAGCACACACCACCTCTAAATTTGGAACGCTTATTCCAGAAGTTGGAAAAGTGACTGTGTGTTAAATATACCTTGGTGCAGTATACAGTCGCAGTATGTAGTAGAAACGTAAGGAGTGGGATGTATTCACTCCTCAGTACATTGTCATAAAAAATTGCTAATAAAAAGAATTTAAAAGATGGTAAATAGTGTCAAACAAGTCGAGGTGTACATTCATGACTCTTCCTTTAAGTTAATCGTTCAAAGGAGTTGGACAGCCAACATGTACATTAACTGCTCCCCTGGTCAATCACTGACAAACTCAACAACATCAGTCTCAGAAAGTTACAAAAACGAACCAGTGCAGAAAGCTTTGAGGTTTCTTATGCTGTGCTTATTAGACAACAATTCAACCAATACCTCAGTGTTAACTTGTACAATTCTAATATGACAAACAGTGCCAGAAAGAGACTTGTTTTGTTGTGCACTGCTTATCTACTGTGGTCACACCAATGTGTTTATAGTCATTTCAGTTCACCTGCAAGGTTTGTATCACAGGAAAATGTTTAAGATTGTGATACTTCTTATAATTACTTAATATAATTAAAATCACATTACAGCACAGAATCGTGTGTATGGAATCCGAATGTTACATTGTCAGTCTCTTTTTTTATTCAGACAATAGACAAACCATCACTTTTTTCCTCTCCTCCTCACCCAAGTTACGTCATCTGAGATTGTCAACGACATTGTCTTCATGTGATAATGCTGGGTATTGTATTTGGTCAACAAACATTCACTACCACCACCATAGCTGCTGAAATACTTTAACAAAACAGATGTGTTGACTAATATACCTGAAGGCTATTTTTCTTAACACATTGTCTCGTTGAAAGGTTTACTTTTGATTTAAACTACACCTTAGATCGTTTTTTTTTCCGTGGTTGTCCAATATTTATTAGCTTACTCACATACAAAGGTCTCTACGTGCGTGCATGGATCTCCACATTTAGGGCAGCGTAGCTGACTTCCCCCCTTGCCTGATCCTCCAGAGCCAGAGAGTCTCTTCCCCTCACTGATGCTTTTCTGTGAAACAAACGACTGTGTCAGCACATACTGAATTACTTTCTTACCATCTCCTCCATGTACAAAGTGGTATGGAGACCTACAATGGAAGAAAGCTACAAATGAGATTCATTGTTTATCAAGAATACCTTTCCACCATCACTCCCATTGTCCTTCGTTGTCCCATCTTTAGAGGCAAAGCAGACAGCGGTCTCTGAAAAAGACCTCACCCGCACCTGGAGAGGTACATATGCTTCCCGAGACCCCTGACGACTCAGAGAAAAGAGCTGAATGCGGGAGCAGGACAATCCTGTAACAACAGCATATATTCAATCAGCTGTTTCACTCACTTTAACAAACTAATTGTTGTTGCAACGTGTCCCCTGGTATCTACTACTTTATATTTCATACATGATTGTAAACTTAATATTTAATAACATCGTTGGTTGGAAATAATGAGACATTACATTGGGCTCTGAGAAACTGTAAAGTCCATTTTTAAATTGTGTTTCTGTCTGCTGTCAAATCAATGAATCCTTAAACTTTCACTTTATAAGTTGTTGTGGAGATTTTACAAATTCTGATTTTTCCCCCTCTTCTCCGTGCACTTTCGTGGTAGGTGAAGTTAACTCATTGTTACCTCATCTGCTTCTTCTTGGTCGTGGGTGTAACAAGTTAGCTTAGCTGTAGCTACTTGTCAGTGTTTAAGTGATTTTATTTATGGGTCACTAATCTCGAATATTAGGTCACAGCTGAACAGCTATGTGAGAGTTTGGATGATGATGCAATGTTTCTCAGCCGTCGCTTCTGAACTCGTGTAAGTGACTTTTCCACCTGTTGACGTCCCATGTTTGTCACAACAGGCAGTAATCTCAGTTAGCTGGAGACACACCAAACTATGTCATGCAGCTTCCCCTGGGGCTGCACTTTCGTTTCCTTACCTCTGTGTGCAGTGTTAAGGAACAGCCTGGCAGCCGATGAGCATGGACAGGACATAACTCGTCTTTTGACTTAAAACCCTGAAAATGAAAGTGAAGTTACCACCAAGCAAACAGAGAGGGGAGGCTACTTTAGCAGCGGCGGCTAACAGGCCACTGAGCTACGAACATTTCATAACTCCTACGTCACTGTTAGCATTAGCAAGCTGGGTCACCAAGTGCAGCTTCTAATTGTTGAGACCAGTATCATTAGAACCACGATATGTATCAATGGATTAAACCAAAACATGGCTTCCCGTCTAACGTGAGCAATACATGACGAGATAAACAATGTTAGCTGGCTAGCTTAAATGCAGAGGTACCTGTTAGCTACTTAAGCTAGGCCCGGGCCAGAGCCACGGAACGCTGCTGCCAGTGGAAATGACAAACGACCCCGGGAGGACAGACACCCGGGGCCGGACAGTGGTTCAGCGGGGAGGCTTAACACTACCCCCAGGCCTCACGCATGACTTGGATCGAGCACGACAACAGCGAAAGTGCGAGCCGACATGTTATTAACTTGCTAGTTTTACTCACAAGGTACGATGAAACCACTCGCGTCTGGAGACCAGCCTCCTCCTCGGGAACAACAGACCGTCAAAGTCACCGCTGCCTTCGCTTCGTTATTTCAGTGTGACAGGTCAGCGTGTCATGCTAATGTCATGCTAGTGTCACAGTATGCGAACAAGGACCTAACTGCACCGCGTTGCCTTCCTCCCAGGTGGGACAAGACCCACCGTGATGTAACGCTCGCAGTTATACACCAGGTCGTTCACACGGCTAACCAGCTAGCCTCCGCTCCCGGTGCACTAGTTAGTACCGCAGATTTGTTAACTGTACTTAGCTGGAACAACATGGAGGCTGCCGTTATGTGTAAGGGGGTTTACACCCATCCACACTTGTGGAGATCTACTGTTCAAGCAGGAGGCGTTAACGGAAAGGACTGATGGTGCGTTCAAGGGACCATCGTACTGTACTTTCACAACATGGTGAACTTGTGATGCGTTTAGGGATGATCGTAAATGTGGTTTATTAATGACGATGATAACAACAACAACAACAACAAAAATAAAAGAAGAATTTATTCGTATATACAGCACTTCTCAAAGCTACAAAGTGCATTTTGTTTTCAAAAGGATAAAATATAAATTGGAAATTTTAAATTGACACAAATAAACTATAAAAACAACAGAAGTAAAAGTAACCCTTTTACTTTACACAAACAAATGTGTTGTATAAACACATTAACACTGTCTCTAACTGAACGACCCGTTGAGTTTCGAGGTCACAAAGGTAACAATACTGTGACACACGTCTCATGAGGCAGATTTCAAAAAACTCAACAGACATGGATGAGCCGATCTTGTTACCTAACCCACTGTAATGTACAGGAGACATTACAGCAGGCAAGTATGTTAGGTTACATCACACAAACTATTCACTGAGACATCATAATTATTAGCTGAGAAGTCTTACAAATACAAAACACACTTAAAGGTTTGGTGTTGACCAGATCTTGACCTTTACCTTATCCTTGCATTTTAAGCACATTAGAGCCACACGGAGTGAGCAGTCATGAATCACAGAGCAAACGCCAGTTCAAACAGGATTGTGTAACATCCTGTAGTTGTGTGGGTACAATTCTTTCTTTGCATACATGATTACTATGGAGAACAGGGCTTTCAGGTTTTTTAGTTGCATTACAAATAGCATTGTCCTGTCAGGTTTGTGCATTATCTTTTAAATAAAGACACAACAATATCCAATGCAAATGTTCCTCCTGAGTCATAATCTGGAGGAATCTTGAATTTCCTTAATAACTACAATAAAAAACAATGAACATGAAACTGATATTTCAAATATTCTTTTATTGCTCATTTTACAGGGTTCTTTTGGTTATTTTGAGGTCACTTTGAGTTTAACTCTGCAGGTTTTCACTTTGCTGTTCTCCCACATATACAAAAGCCTTTTGTTGGGATAGTAAGACACCATAGCCAAAATGCCTTTAGCTGGCCTTAAATCAAAACTTGCATCAAAAGGACTCTGTTTCTTCAAATCAAAAGCATATGCTACTCCTCTGTCCTTATCATCTGTGAAATAAAGCACACCACATACAATGAAAGCATTTCCTGCTTTAGTTGTGGGGTATGCAGTGTTGATGACAGACTCCACAGAAAATGTGTCGGGGTTGAGCTTTGCAACCATCGTGTTATCATCTGTATCTGAAGCAAAAATCACCCACAGTCCATTTTCATCCAGAGCAAACTTGAAGTAAGTCTTTGCGTTGCAGAAAAGATAATTCAGATTGTTGTATCTGCTCTTTGCCATAGTCAGAGTGTCAGTTCTCCCAGTGTTCAGGTCAAATCTGTAAAATCAAAAATGCTTAATATTAATCACATGTCATATATCACAAACACATCTACAATTACTGATCAAGGGGTTCTTGAAATGTTGTTTTCATAGGAATGTGATAAACGGACAACCCGAAAAATGATGTCTTGGGCCACAGGCTGTGACACAAGCATAAAAACATTTAGGAGACAATTACTGCATATGTAAAACACACACACACACACACGTGCATGCACGCACACACTTACTTTAAAAGATTGTTTGTTCCTGCATTGTGGAAGTAAAAGGACCCCTTATAAACAACATGGCCACAGCCCTGGTAGAACCTCCTGACATCTATGGTTTTGTTGCTCATGCTCTGAGAGGAGGAAATGTTCTCATACTCTGCCAAAATTCGTCCTGAGGAACAAAAGTTCATATGTTAAAACCAACAATCATTCAGCAAACTCTGTGATTAAACTGTTTCTGTATCAGTCACCTGAAAAATGATCAGCCAGCCAGTATCGACCGTTGTCCAGCAGCGATGCATCTGACATCCAGGCTCCAAACGTGCTTCTCATTTTGGTGGCTCTCTCCGAACATTTGATATTTTTGATATGGCACTCTAGTGAATAAAAACATGAATTTAGTATCGATGGATACATACAT